GATGTTCTTGAAGTCATCCCACAACTCTTTTGATCTTCGGTCTTTAGTGTTTAATGTATCAAATCTGTTCTTCAGATGATCTCTAAATTCAGGTGGAATATATTCAAGGTCATATTTTGGCTCTCGTAGACTTATTTTCATTTTCTTCAGCTTCAGTTTGAATTCGCACATGAGTAATTAATGGTCTGTTCCATAGTCTGCCCCTGGCCTTGTTTTGACTGATAATATGGAGCTTTTTCAACGTCTCCTTCCGCAGATGTAGTCAATTTGATCTCTATGTATTCCATCTGGTGGAGTCCATGTGTATAGTTGTCTCTTCTTCTGTATAAAGTATTTGAAATGAACAAACTACTCATCTGTCAGTTTGTTGTACTGTGGTGTCTTGTGAGTTGTCATAGCATCATAAAATACAATGACACAAATTCAGTTTCTAAGTGAAGCCATTGATTTCCCCCCTTTATTTCCTTGCTGCATTTCAGTGGCTTTCTTACAAAGATTAACATGTAATTATTAGGGAAAAAGGAAAAGGAAAAAACAAATAACAAATATTGCCAGGAGTTTTAACCTCTGCTTAGATTTATGAGAGCCATTATATCATATATAATCTTTATCTTATGTATCATGCCCTTTAAACATAGGGGGATGATTACATATTTATGTAACTCCCAACATGTATATTTTTATTCTCACAAAAACAGTATGAAAGATGAGTTTGTATATAAGAAAGCCGAGACTGAGAAATGTTAAATAAATTTACCAGAGTCACATAGATAAAAAGGAGCAAGGATAGGATTAGAACTCATATTTTTCTGAGGCCCAAACCCTTTTTACTATGACCTTGAAGGGATCAGATTTCTAATTTACGTGTTTAAGCTAAGATGTTAATGTAGTCCTCATAGGAAAGACAGTTTAGAAATTTTTTCATGTCTCAGAAACTACAAAAGTAGGAAGCAATCATTTTCTTAAGTCTTTATGTCCTGTATGTCAGCCAAATTTTTCATGGCTTATCCTGCCTAAATCACTGCCCATACCGGTCCTCTGAGGGTGTCTCCGACAGTCTTCTAATCTCATAAATGGCAAACACTGTTAAGACTTTATCTGGAATGTTGATATCATTGTACCTCTTCCCTACACTTAATGGCAATGCCCCGTCTCCTGTGATTACATTCTCTGAATATGACATTTAACCTCCCCAGGCTTGTTCAAGAAGATTTCTTCCGTTTTGCTTTGATTTTAACCCTTCATCTCATAACCTGGGTTTTACTGTAAATTAGTCTCTGTTTAAAACTCACAAATTTCCTTTTCTCATAGATCATTACCATGAGAGATTACATACCAAAAATCCTTGGTCCCGAGGCCTTCCATCAATACGTGGGTCTCTATGAAGGCTATGATTCTACAGTGAACCCAACAGTCTCCAATATATTTTCCACGGCCGCATTCCGCTTTGGCCATGCCACAATTCACCCACTTGTGAGGCGACTTGATGATCACTTTCAGGAGCATCCAGATCTCCCCAGGTTACATTTGCACGATGTCTTCTTTAGTCCATGGAGACTTATCAGAGAAGGTGAGCCCCTTTCTTCTACCTTGTTGTTGTCAACTCAGCGACCCTGTATAGGGTTTTTGAGGAGCGGTTGGTGAGCTTGAACCACCGACCTTGTAATTCAAACCGACCTTGCAGTCCAGCACATTAACCCACAGCATCACCTTGATGTCATTATATGTTCTTTCTTTTTGTCTCTCAGTCATGTAAGACAGAAGACATGCAGTTAACTTTTGTGTTGGTACATTTGGTTGAATACTATACAAATTACCTGAGTGTGTGGAGAAAATCATCTTATTCAAAAGCATTTCAAGAGACAAAGTCTTTGTCAAAAATGCTTTATCTCTAAAAAGGGAACCAACAGAGTGGGGAAAATTTTTTTTGTAATGACATAGTAGACTATGGATTAATTTCTAAAATGTATAGAAAACTACAACACCTCTACAAGAAAAAGACAACCCAATTTTAAAATGGGTACAGAAGAGGAACAGACACTTCACTAAAGAAGACATTTAAGCAACTAAAAACATATGAAGAAATGTTTATGATAATTAGCTATTGTTGTTGTTAAAGTGCCACTGTGTTGGTTCCGACTCACAGTAATCCTGTACAGGGTTTCCAAGGAGGAGTGGTGGATTTGAACTGCCAACCACGTGGTTTATGGTCCTGTGCCAATCCTGCAGTACCACACATTAACCATTAGAGAGATGCAAATCAAAACAACAATGAGGTATCATCTTATACCAGTGTTAATTGCATTTTTTCAAAAAAACAGAAAACAACAAATGCTGATGCAGGTGTGGAGAGACTGGGACCCTCCTACATTGTTGGTGGGACAGTAAAATGGTTCAGTCACTCAGGAAAATGGTGTAGTGCTTCCTCAGAAGGTTAGAAATAGAAGTACAGCACTCCTTCTACTTGGCATATATATGCAAGAAATAAGAGCCAGGATATGGTATATGCACACCTATGTCCATCACAGCACTATTCATAATACAAAAAGTTGGAGACAACCCAAATGTCCATTAATGGAAGAGTGGATAAAAAAATTTTGGTATACACATACAATGGAATATATACAACATTGAATATATATATCAATATCTCATAATATGGATGAACTTAGGAGTCCTGGTGTGACACCGTAGGCTAATGCACTGGACTGCAAAGTTGATTTGAACCACAATGTTGGCCATTCAAGTTTACCAGCTGCTCCTCAGAAACCTTATATAGGGTTGCTATGGGCCAAAACCAACCTTATGGCACTTATGAACCACTAACAAGAAAGCATTTTGCTGGGTGAAATAAGTCAATCATAATTCTTGCTATGCTTGAGCTCATTACTGCTGCCATAGTGTCTGTCCATCTTATTGGAGTCTTCCTGTTTGTGCTGAACCTCCACTTTACCAAACATAATGTCTTTCTCCAGGGACTGGTCCTTCCAGTTTGAATATAAAATGCTAATAATTTTGTTTCCTTTGTAAACAGATTATTTAGAGAAAAATATTTTTGTTCTCTGTTAAGCTTTTGTGAGAGTCATTTTAAATTCTTCCTCTCATACTCCCTTTCTTTTGCCCAATGTTATTTATGCCTATCTGGAAGCTTTTCATCTATCTCAAAAATTGATTAATTCTAAGAGGATATAGTGGGTGGAATGGAAAGTGGAGATTACAAAGTCCCTGCTAATAAACTCTTTTTACTCTCCCCATTTAAGCAAGCTGCTTGCATGCAAAACTTGTTGGAAAGTGATTAGTCTAGGCCTTTATTGGATTAGTCTAGGCCTTTATCAGGATACCAAAGAATTTGATGATAACTGACTCAGCCTACACAGGTCAAATGAATTGTGGCTTGTAGGCTGTGTTTTGGGAAGTACCATGAAGCCTGACTGATCTACTAAAAGACTCTTATTCCATGTCACTGCATATTCAAAGTTACTGTGGCATGGACGCTATGAGTCAGAACTGACTCAACAGCACTTAAAGAGAGCAACAGCAACTACAATCTTATAGATAACTAATTCATTTTCTATGATTGAATTCTGTGAGACAGTCCAAACATTTTTGGAGATGATGGTAGAAGAGGTTTTCTAAGCATTCTGATTACTTCTTTAGCCAAGGCAAGTCTTCTTTTAAATTTCCCATACATTTGTTATTGTTGATAAGTGCTGTCAAGTCGATTCCCATACATTAGAATTCAGTAAATTCTTTGATTGTAGCATTTTTGTTGTTGAAAAACAAAACAAAAAGTATTCATCACTGCCTGGACTCTATTTCTAAGATGCTTTGAATTCTAGAGATCTATCTTCCTGTAGCAATTTAGAGTCAGTTACTTGTTGAATGAATTTCAGACGTGTATTTATCAACTTACAAAGAGAGCATCTAAGAACATCTAAAAAATGAATCCTCAAAAATGAATTCATGAACTTACAAAAAATACTTTTTTAAGAAAAAGTTTAATTTGTTACCTGAGCTATTATTCAGTTTCACCAGAACTTATAAAAGAAATATTTTCACTTTTTCTATGAATATTTTCCAGGTGGTTTGGACCCAGTGGTAAGGGGCCTTCTTGCAAGATCAGCCAAATTGCAGGTGCAAGATCAACTGATGAATGAGGAACTGACAGAAAAGCTCTTTGTGTTATCTAATTCAGGCACTTTGGATTTGGCATCACTGAATTTGCAGAGGGGCCGAGACCACGGCTTGCCAGGTCTGCTGCTGCCTCTAGGTTTCCTTTTGACTGCTAACCTCACATGTTTGCTGTATAATTTGGCAAATTAGCAACCTGTTCTTTGAGAGAATGATTTAAAGTGAAATGTATCTGCACATCTATTACCAACTGTAAGAAATGGGCTTTTAAAGTACTTTAGTTCGCTAAACCAACGAGAAAATGTCTAGCTTTTCTTAGACAATGGAAATGGCACAAAGCTGATCCTGAGCCTAATATTAACTGGATGAGCAAAAGTGTATAGAAATAGCATACTCTTGAAGAATGAGGAAGAGCTTTCTAGGAAGATAATGGCACATCTAAGCCTGATTTTCTCAGCTGCCTTTGGCTGGAGTGTCCATTCTCTTCACTTTTATTCCTGTCAGAATATCCTAAGGGACCAGGAAAGATTATTTGCTACTACTAGCACTATTGCTAAATTACCCATCCAATTTCCTGGCCCACCAGCATGCACTTTGATTCCTAGCTCAGGTCAGACAGCTACTGTATTATAGTTTCTCACTCCATCCTTTGCTCATGCTTTTCTCAGCCAGTCACCCTTACCCTGACACTTCTGACATCTACTCTGTCTCATTTGTCAGATCCACCTCATTATTTACTGACACCTTTGCCTGACTTCTCCAACCTACTGGAAACTTCACTCCTCCAAACTCCTGTAGTTTGTAATCTGGCCTGACCTATTAGTGCAATGCCCAAAGCCTCTATTATTTTATATCTAATTTCCTATGTACAGATGGGACCTCCCTAAATGCTTCATAAGTTCTCCAAGTATAGAAATCACTGCATGTGCCCTGTTTATTCTTACAGACTTATGCTTAGAAAGTACTCTACAAATTTGTTAGGTGACTACCTATAGATTCACCAGTAGGAGAAACTCCCATGCTGCTCAGTGCCTCCCAAGTCCCCTGAAATGCAAAGTACATTTCTCTATAACAGTCTCAGAACTACCTTTTTAAAGTCTTCTATTTCAACACCTTTTACACTCTATAGATTCTCAAAACCTTTACAGTCACTGTTCTACTTAATCCATCATTCACAGATTCGATCAACAAATAGACATCAATCTTCATGTATCTGTGAAGCAGGTAAGGCTAATATACATGTGCTTGTATCACAGGTTTGCTTTTTTTTCTAGACCTTCTAATTCTTGGTCTGGCAACTTTTAACAAAGAGCATGTTCTATGCTCATTGAGCCTCCATACTGCCTGCACTAGTGGTGTTTGCAAGGATACAATCAACTAGTGCATATGCTGTTAAACTTTTGGAGCCTGCATAAAAATTGATGCAGCACCAGACAACATTTATTCTGTTATAAATGTGGTCACCATGAGAGAGATTTGACTAGATAGCAACCAACAACAGTAGTTATAAATTGGAAAGAAGCAGAAAGGGTTCCATTTTTGTACACTTAGATCTCCCATCCTCAACCTTTTGCTTCTTTATTTCTTACATACACCAAAAAGGTACCTGCCTGCCTCAGGGCATTTTGACCTTCTAGTCCCCCTTTTGTGGCACTGTGGGTTAATGCACCAGACTGCAAAGCCATTTGAACTGCAAGGTTGTTGGTTCAAGCTCACCAGCTGCTCCTCAGAAACCCTATACAGGGTTGTTATGGGTCAGAGTCGACTCAATGGCACTTCACAATATTCCCCCGTTTTGGCATGCTCTCAATGCCCATACTAGTCTTGCTTACTTTACACTTTTTTCAAGTCTTTACATCAGTCTAGCATTAATAAACAGATCTGCACAGAGAATGGTTTCCCTTCACTCCTCACTCCAACATTTCCTATTTCTTTTCTCTGATTTATTTGTTTATTGGCACAAAATTTATCACCAACCAATAATAGTACATACCTATTAGGCCACATTTTTCATTTACTTATTATTTGTCTCTCCAAGTTAGACTGTAATCATAAAGAATAAGGTATAACAGGTGGATTGAGTTTGTGTTCAGAAGACTTGGGTGTAAGCCTAAGAAGTCCAACTCACAACCAGTCTCTTAGAACCTTTGGAATTTCTGCTTTATCATCTGAGAAAAACAGAGACAACAATGTCTACTTCATAAGGATGTCTTGACTGTTAGAAATAATACATATGAAGGTGTTCAGGGAGATGTAAGTAAATAATAGTAACAGTATTTTTTTAAAAGACAATACTAGGTGTCAAGTCAGTTCTGACTCATAATAAGTGCTAACCTTTACTAAGTACTTGGTTTATGCACATTTTATCCCCCACAACTCAAGGAGATCCTATTATGATCTTTTTGTTTCACTGATAAGAATTTGGCAACTTCCTAAATTGTCATTTTTAGCAAGAGGAAGAATTTGGATGGAACGTAAAAATCGTTCGTATATAATTGTTAAATGTTGTGGCATTGATTTTCAACTCATGGTGATTCCATGTGAAAGAGTGAAAGTGCTCCACATCATTTTCTTGGTTGTAATCTTTACAGGAACAGATTGTCCTGTCTTCATTACAGGAAGCCATTGTATGGGCTTGAATCACCAACATTTCAATGAGCAGCTGAGCACTTAACTGTTGTGCCATCAGAGCTCATTCACATATATATGTTGTTGTTGTAAAGTGCCTTTGAGTTGGCTCCCACTCATAGCAAACTGGAGTAGGATTTCTGAGGAGCAGCTGTTGGGTTTGAATTGCTGACCTTGCAGTCTAGTGCTTATCCTACAGCACCACACCATGACTTCTCACATATTTAACAAAGTTTAGTTAGATCTCAGGCTATATCACATAATAGGTTTTCTGAAAAATGCTCATTACAACATTGTGATGGTGACCTCCACTATGCCTTGAAATCTTCATTTTACTTTGCAGAAATTAATGAAATATCTAGCCTACATTCCTCCACAGACCCTTTTTCCTTTCCACTTTTTCTCACTGCTGTCTCACTGAACAGGGACTTCTGAAATGAAAGGTTTTATATTGCTAGATCTGTGGTCCCATAGCTCTGGCACACAGTACCCTTTGCCTTTTTACTGCCTTCCCAGACATTTCACATTGTCCTTTCAGTTGAAGGATATAAATGTGTTTCTTCTTAGAGCAATGGAAAAAGGAAAGTGTCTTCCTAATTTCTTTATATCTATGTAAAACTTAAAGTATCAATCTCACACAGGTACAGAGAGCTTTTTATTATCCTTTTGGTACTTAAAATAGGTTGAAGATGGTCAACTATAAAAGGTTTCTCTGAATTTTAGAATTTTGGTTCAGTTAGCATTGTAAATTTTGATTAATCTGAAAATGAATGCATTCTTTAGTGTGTCATCAATGAAATAACTAAGAGAACCCCACCCCGCAAGCATGTACTGGGAATACATATTTTCTGTATAACTCAAATTTGGTGGTTTTATTTTATCTGTTATGAGACCATGGCAAATTTGGAGGGTGTGTTTGATTACCTGGTCTAAAATATATTATGTCATAGATAATGTAGTAAAGATAAAATGGTCACTGGAGGATTTTTCTTTAAAACAAACAAAATAACAATTCAAGAGTGAGGAATTAATTGTATTACATAGCTCAAGTTGAGGTTTGATGAAAGATCTGGGAATGACCCATCTGGAAAGAGAGTCAAAAGTCCTAAGAGTACATCAGCCAACAGTAGGCTGTAAATTGAGGCAGAGCAGTTTCTCACTGGGCAGTTGCCGGTAGCATATACCAGAGGCAGCAGCATGGGGCTGTGTTAACTAGCCTAGGCTGCCACTACTAGTGTGTAGCACATGAGTAAAGTACATGTAAGAACTTGGTCCTCATTCATTTCAATCAAGGATGACACCATTTTAAAATATGGTCTGACACTGATTTTTCTAAAACCTTAGAGTAGAGATCACACTATTATTTTCTTCCTTCAAATTGCCTGCTCCTTCTTCCACCTCTCTTCTTCCAAGTTGACCCTTGTAACTGGAAGACATTCACTCCCCAGCTCAGTGAGCTTTTTAAAAATCACTTAATAATTCATGTTTCTACCTCACTGGGAAATATGTGGTAGTTTTTAACTATTCGTGTTTCTTCTAAAAATGAGACTCACTTTGAATCTCTCTACTTTGTTTTAAGAATGCCCAGCATTCCTGAGCAAGCAGAACCAATTGTTACAAAATGCATTTCTATGGATGCATGAATTTAAACAGCACTTTTGTTGAGTGCTTAATATATATATGCCACTGGGAATAAAATAAGACACAATTTCAGCAAAAGGACTCAGGATGGTGGAACGGATAAGCAAAGAGAAAATAATAAAGTACATTGATGAATATTATGATTAGACCTAGTATGGAGTGTTAGTTAAATGGGAGTGAGCAATTTAGAAAGGTCACCTCTCTTAGCCTTGAGCGGAGAGAAACATTTCCGGAGGAGGCAATAGCTAAACTGAGATCTGTAGAATGAGGTGGTAAGTTCTTGGAGAAAGACACGAGAAAAAGAGAAAATGTAATATAAAAAGGTAGCAGGACAGCCCAAACCAGAGCATAGGAACAGACTCATCTGGGGAAGTGATGCTTAGATGACAGACAGCAAGGTAGGAGAAACAATCCAGAAACTGCAGAGTTACTCAGGGACCATACCACAAGGGCTTTACTTGACATGCTAAGAAGTTTGGAAGTTATCCTGAAAGCAGTGGGGAGACAATAAAAGATCCTACATGAGAGATAATTGGTCAAAGATGTTTATCTGTCTCCCTTTATCTATTTGTATGTGTCAAAGAGAGAGAAAGAACAAGAGAGAGAGAAAAAGGAAAAATGACAGAATTATGGGCTGGTGTCATCATTATAGAATGTAAATCTATAAAGGCTAAGAACTGTGTCTTAGTTGCTCTGTAGAGATAAGAATGTAGGCTGGGTAATAATATGGATCCACTTAGAAGTCTTGGATTTAGTATTATTGCTCTCCCCAAACTCCTTTATGAATACACTCTTCACTAAGATCCCTGAGGTCTGTGCTGAAATACTGTAACATATTGAACTCTACAGGGTGTAGAGTAATTAAGCAGTTTTCACTGTTGCTGGAAATTATGGACAGGATTCTATAATGCTGCAATTGTAAGTTTCAGTGGATACAGAATCAATGAGGTACACCGAATGAATATTCAGAGCACTATAAGAAAAAACTAAAAAACAAATCACCTTAAATCCTTCTTCTTTGTATAGGCTATAATGAATGGAGAGAATTCTGCAGCTTACCAAGACTGAAGACTCAAGCTGACTTGAATACTGCCATTACCAACAGGAGCATTGTTGAAAAGATAATGAACTTATATAAGCATCCTGATAATATTGATGTCTGGCTGGGTGGCTTAGCTGAAAACTTCCTTCCAAAAGCTCGAACTGGTCCCCTGTTTGCATGTATCATTGGAAAGCAAATGAAAGCTCTAAGGGATGGTGACTGGTAGGTATTTGCAACCAGTTACTTTTATGTTCTATATGGAAGGCAATATTTTATATTGGCACTGTTGGATAAGAACTGGACAACAAGGTCAGTTTGAACCACAATGTCGACAGTTCAAACCCACCAGGATTGTTGTGAGTTGAAAACAACTCAATGGCACTTAACATTAACAACATTTTATATTAGTTTTACTTGTACTCTTCCTAGTCTGGGTTCAAATATTGGTTCTACCACTTAATATGTATGTGACCCTATACAGTTAATTCTCTCAGACATAGTTGTTTCTCTCTTGTAAAAGATGATTGTGATAAAAATTAAATACATACAAAGCACATAGTACATTTTAAGAATTTAAATTGTTATTATTTATTTTTCCATATCATCTAACCACATGAATAAGCAGACCCCATGTGAAGAATTATCAAAAAGCACATTTCAAGATCCATCTTGAAGTACAAAGCTGTCTGTGATAGTATACTATATCCATATGCCTATAAGGAGCTCTGGTAGCGTTGTGCTTACAAGTTGGGCTGCTAACCTCATGGTCAGTAGTTCAAAACTACCAGCAGTTCCACAGAAGAAAGATCAGGCTTTCTGCTCCTGTAAAGATTTACAGCCTCAGAAACCCCGTACAGGGTCACTATGGGTCGGAAGCGACTCGAGGGCACTTAACAACAACAACAATGTGAAGAATTAATTGTATTTCATGATGATCCTGAAATTGTATTCCATTTTTGCAGATTCTCTGAAATCTTCTGTTTGTTAGACAATTTCTATTGAAATTGAAATGATGACATTTGAGTAGGTGCCACAAAGATCAAAGGACTATGCATAAAAGCAGAGAGTTTTGTTGTTGTTTTAATTGGGTAGACAAGCTGTCTGGCTTCCTTTTCAGTCTGAAATCTCCAATCCAAGTAAAGATTTTTTTTTTTTTTTGCAGGTAGCTTAAAGCTAAGATACCCAACTTTGTTGTCGTTACATCAGTGCCAAGACTTTAAAACCTTGTTTATAGCCAGAGGAATAAACCCTACTGACCCAATGGGTAAACCCTTGACTGCTAGGTGAAAAGTCAGTGGTTCAAACCTAGCAGCCACTCCTGGCAATATGTCCCTAATCACAACCCAGGAAGTCTTCTGGGGTCATTCTACAATGTTTCGTAGGGTCACTAGGCATCCTATTTACCTTGACAACATACAACATAGCCAGAGGGAGATAGCAAAGCAAGGTTTTTGTTTTGTTTTGTTTCCATATCTAACTCTTTAATCTCCATATGCCACAGCATAAAATTATGAATTAGTAATTTGAGAGTCATATGGATGAAAACAATCAGAAGAAAGATGAGGCTTTCTGTTCCTGCAAAGATTGTCAGTCTCAGAAATCATATACAAGGTTGCTATGAGTCAGAATTGACTTGATGGCACTTATCAACAACAGAAAGATGGATAAAAACAATAAGAATTTTTAAAAAAATAATCTCTACACATCTAGTGGAGTCCTGGTATGGCACCATAAGATAATCACTTGACTTCAAGGTTAGTTTGAACGCCAAGGGAGAAGCTCAAAATCACCAGCCACTTCTCAGAATCTCTATACAGGGTAACTATGAGTTGGAACTGACTGAATAGCTCTTAACAATAACAACCAACACATCTAGTTATTCTCTTTTTCTTTCTTGTTTTGCAGTCACCATTATTAACCAATTCCCAAGAATATTCATACTTCCTCAAGAGACTAAATTAGACATATTCTAAGGTTCTTTTCTCTCTCTCTCTCTTTTTTTTTTTTCCTTTCCGTTCAACTTTTATCAATAATTTCTGAAATGTAGCATTTCAACGAGCTCACAATGCTGGGGAAGATTTAACTAGAAGAAGTTGTCTTATTCAAAATTGTATCTTTAGCAAACTCCTGTGGTGTAAAATGTGTTGGGACATGAGAAGTGACTAGTCTTGACAATGATATATTTCTTCATCTTGTACATTGTCACAAATTTATTATATTACCTTTAGTAGGAGCAAAACTTGCAATAAGCAGACACAAGCTATAGATTCCTGGAGTGATATGGTGCATTTCTCATCTTGAGTACTTATAATTGAATATCTCCTCATATAAAAATCTGATCAAGTAATAATCTATAATGAGGACTTTTGCTTCATATTCTAAGAATAATTTGTACTCATATAGGAAGGAAGGGAACCTTTATATGACAAAGGAAATACAATGATTTAAGGCATTAAAATCAGACGCTACTGGAGTTTTGTTGGTGAGCTTAATATTTTGAGAGAAAAGAAAAACTTTTTTTCCTAATACTCTATTTCTCTTGGTTAATTATATCCTGGTGGAAAAGACAGAAGTTAGAATGGTTTCACACATTTTTTTTATTCACTATAAAGAACAGCACTTTCTAAAATAAGTAAATTTTGTTGATATTTTTATTTTTAAATGGCTCTCCACTACCACCACCACCAGCAGCAGCCCTTTCTCCAGGTAAAAATAAAGCAGAAAAATAGATTGACATTAAAATAAATAAGTGGTTTAATGCTGGCTTTTTTTCTCAGTCAGTCAGTAGGACATTAAATCACTGGAGTACCTCACCTCCTCATTTCCTCCTTTAACTCCTTAGAAGACTCAACTTGAACTGAAAAGTTCTGACTTTGCCTCTGAGTTACTCATTGTTTTTATCACATTGCTGGGCCTATGCCATGAGCGACTTCACTCATTGGTTTTGTGGAGAATCCTTGGCACCGAGCAGTGTGTATAAGATGTAATTAAAGTATGTGCTAAATAGAAAATGACCCAAGAGGAGTTCTCTGCTTAAGTATTCTTACATTATTCTCTGTTCTGTGGAGGTTTTGGTGGGAAAACAGGCATGTATTTACTGAAGCTCAAAGGCATGAACTAGAAAAGCATTCATTGTCCCGGATCATCTGTGACAACACAGGCCTCATCAGAGTGCCCATTGATGCCTTTCAAGTTGGAAAATTTCCCCAAGACTTTGAACCCTGTGAAAAAATATCACACATGAATTTAGAAGCCTGGATGGAAACCTTTCACCAAGGTAAATGTAAATATTTTTCAAAGATTATATCCTAGAATGGAGATTTAATCATAGAAAGCATAACTTCTCAAAGAATCTGATTTTTTATAAGCATGGTTTGAAAAAAAAAAACATCAATAATCACCCTTATATCCTCAAGGTTGCTTGTTTAAAATGCTTGAAATTAAATGGTGTTTCCTGAGTGCCTCCTCCTTAAATGAGGAAGGAACTTGGAAGTCTGATAAAATTTAGTCAATCTGGGTCTGCTATATTAAAGGATATTGGCAAATAGAACAGTCCATCATGTGCTGCCATGTGTTATTGTGTAAACGCTAAAGGAATGATTTAATCAGGGTTTCTCATACTCAGCATTATTGACATGTTGTGCCAGATAAAATCTTTGTTGATGGGGTCTGTGCTTTGAATTGTACGAAGTTTAGCAGCTCCTATCCTTTATCAAGATGATTTTCATAACACCTCACCAAGTTATGAAAATCAAAAAAACAATGTGTCCCAACATTGCCAAATGTCCTCAGGGAACCAAAATCACCACTGTTAGAGAACAAGTAGAAAGAATAAAGAGACCAATACCTGACTACATAGAAAAGGGTTCTAGAAATACCAGGATAATAGAAACATGAAGATTGTTTGAGATTTAATTTAGTAAAACAAATTTGAATTTTAATAATACACACACCAGAATTACTCTTCTGAAAATGACAGCCAAGACTTGAAACCAAATCTTCTGATTTCTATTTCTGTACTATGTATGTCTGTAGTAAAAATCAATATGAATGTTACAAATCTCAATTATACACTGTGGGAAATACTTACCTGTTCTTATGTTATTAATTATGATACCACTTCTAGCTCAAAGCAGGAATTTAAGAATTAGACATTGAGTACCTCTTAAATGTTCCAGGTCCTAGAAATATATCTGTAAGAATAAAAATGCATACACACACACACACACACTGACCTTCATTGACCAAACATTCTAGACATAGGAAATAGACATTATACAAATAAGTATGGTGGAACAGAGCATCAAATGCTCATATGAGAGTTCAGACTGAAGCTGAAGAAATTTAAAACAGGACAGCAAGAGTCAAAATAGAGCCCTGAACAGAACCCGCCAGAATATAGAGATCATCTCAATAAATGATTTGATAAATTTGACACTAATGACTGAAGACAAGAAGTGCTATGGGAAGACAACAAGAACACCATAGAGGAAGAAAGCAAATGGTCATTAAAAAGAGATCAAAGTAGATGTCAGAAGAAACTCTGAAACATGCTCTTTAAGGTAGAGATGCTAAAGCAAATGAAAGAAATAAGGAAGTAAAAGAATTGAATAGAAGATTTCAAACGGCAGCTCAAGAAAACAAAATCAAATATTATAACAAAATGTGCAAAGACCTGAATTTAGAAAATCAAAAGGAAACATTCAGCATTTCTCAGGCTGAAAGAAATGAGGACAAAATTCAAGTCTCAACTTGTAATATTGAAGAATTCTATGGGCAAAATATTGAATGATGCAGAAAATATCAAAAGAAGATGAAATGAACATACAGAGTCGCTATACTAAAAAGAAATGGTCGATGTTCAACCATTTCAAGAGATAGCATATGACCAGGAGCCAATGGTACTGAAGTAAGAATCCAAGCTACACTGAAGGCATTGGCAAAGAATGAGGCTCGAGGAATTGATGGAATATAAATTGAAATCTTTTAACAACAGCACTAGAGGCATTCACTCATCTATGCCAAGATTTTTGGAAGACAACTACCTGGACAACTGACTGGAAGAGACCCATATGTGTGCTCATTCCAAAGAGAGGTGACCCAAAGGAATGCAGAAATCATCAGACAATATCAGTGTCACATGCAAGTAAAATTTTGTTTAAGATAATTTTAAAAATGACTGTAATAGTATATTGACAGGGAACTGACAGAAGTATAAGCAAGATTCAGATTAGGACATTAATAAGAGATATCATTGGTGCCATCAGATAGTTCTTTTCTGAAAGTAGAGATTACTAGAAAGATGTTTACCTGTGCTTTACTGACTATGCAAAGGCTTTCAACCTTGTGGATCATGACAAGCAATGGAGAATATTGCAAAGAATGAGTATTACAGAACACTTAATTGTGCTCATGAGGAAACTGTACACAGACCCATAAGCAGGCATTCCAATGGAAAAAGGGGACACTGAATGGTTGAAAATCAGGAAGGCTGTGTGCCAGGGTTACATTCTTTCACCATACTTTTTCAATCTGTATGCTGAACAAGTAATCAGAGAAGCTGGATTATAAAAAGAAAAATGTGGCATCAGGATTGGAGGAAGACTCAAAAACAACTTGCAATATGCAGATGGTGTAACTTTACTAGTAAAAAAAAAAAAAAAAAAGTGTCAAAGTTTTTTGGTTTTTTTCCATGAGGACAATGCACCTGCATATTCCTCAAGATTAGCAAGGGCTGACCCTTGAGAATTTCACTGGAAAACCTTCCCTCAACAGCACAACAGTCCTGACCCTGCCTCTTCAGACTCCTTTTATACCCCAAAGGCAAAGAAACCTGAAGGTTGCCAAAACTGCCATTTTTGATGTGGTGTAAATTGACGAATGCAGAATTCTTCAGGGGAGGATTGTTGTTGTTGTTAAGTGCCATCAAGTTGGTTCCGACCCATAGTGACCCTGAACAGGGTTTCCGAGGCTGTAAATCTTTACGGCTGTAAATCTCATCTTTCTCCCATGGAGCATCTGGTACTTTTGAATTGCTGACCTTGAGGTTCACAGCCCGATTCGTAACCACTATGCTACCAGGGGTGGGAGGATTAGAGAGTTGGAAAACTACCTTCAAAAGTGTATAGACGTGAATAGAATATATATTGAGAACAATAATTTCACATTTTGACATTTTTGAATAATAAATGTTTCCATGATTTTGTAAGTGTCCTGGTTTGTCACTGTAGGCTAAACATTGGACTGCAAGGTTCATTTGAAACACAATGTGTTGATTCAAACCCATCATCCACTCGTCAGAAACCCTATTCTGGATTGTATGAGTCAGAACTGACTCAACAGCACTTACCACAACAATATGATTTTGTAGCAATATATTTTTACTTACCTTTATACTTGCAGTGGAGTCCTGATGTGGCACTGTACGATAAGCACTGGACTGTAAACTGCAAGGTCAGCGGTTCCAACCCACCTTGGAAAACCTATGCAGGGTCACTATGAATTGGAATTGATTTGACAGTGTGTAACAATGATATGAAAGATAAACACTAGGCTGCAAACCACAAAGTAAACAATTCAAGTTCACCAGCTGCTTTTCAGGAGAAGGATAAGGCTTTCTGCTCTTGTAAAGATTTATAGCCTCGGAAACCCTATACATGGTCACTGTGAGTCGGAACTGACTTGGCAGCACCTAACAATAACACTATAAATACAGTAGGTCACATATCATTAGTACTATGGAGAAAAATAAAGCATAAGGGGTGAATTACAGTTGTCTGGAATGAAGTGCGAAGAGGATAAGAAGTAAGTTATTGCTGTTGCTATTAAGTGCCATTGAGTTAGTTCTGACCCATAGCAATCCTGTATAAGGTTTCTGGTGAGTTTGAATCACTGACCTTGAAGTTCAAACTGATTTTGTGATCCACTGCATTATCCTGCAGTGCCTGCCTCACCAGAAGTCTGAGAAGTAAGTAGGCAGTGCAGTTAGAGAGCTAACAGGGACGGATCATGTAAAACCTTGTAGCCTTTGTAAAGACTTAGTCTCTTCTAAGTAAGGTACAAAGTGTTGGATGGTTTTGCCAAGAAAAGTCTCGTAGTCTGATATATATTTTAATCAGTCTGACTTCTTAGACTAGGGAGAGCAAATATAAAAGCAGAAAGAGCAGTTGAGAGTTGCACCATAATTCCATAGAAATGATGATGACTTGGACCCCAGATGATAGCAATAAAAGTAGTGAGAAGTGACCAGATTGGGGACATATTTCGAGGATAGGCCCAACACGATTTCCTAACTGATTAAATGTGAATGTGACCAAAAGTGGGGAGTCATGGGAATGCTCAGGTTTTCCCTAAAGCCAATGGAAAAATGGATTTCCAATTATTGAAATAAGTACAGTTTGAATAAAGTAAGTGGGACAGAAGGTTATTAGTCTTATTGTGCATTTTTTATGTTTGAGAGACTAGTAGACATCTAAGAGATGTACAGAAGGCAAGTGAATACAGAAGACTGGAATTCAAGCAAAATGTCTGGACCAGAGAGACAAATTAGGATTTATCTGTAAATAACATCTGTAGATACAGTATTTAATGCCACGAAGCTGGAAAAAAACAAAAAACAAAACAAAACAAAAAAACCACCTAGAGAAAAAATATGAAGACTAAAGCCAATGACACATTTAGATTCTGAATGTAGAGGGGAAAGAACAAGTAAATGCACAGAGAAAGAGCCACTAGTGAGATAGAAGGGAGATAGCAGATAGCAGATTGTATCTACTAGGAAAGTTAACCAGAGTAAGTATTTTAAGAAGGATGGAATGGTCAGCTAGTTAAATGCTTCTAGTCTTTGAAATAAAAATAGAAACAACAACAGTTGTTGTCAAATTGGCTTAAACTCATATGACCCCATTGTGACAGAGTAGAACTCAGCTCCATAGAGTTTTCAACAGCTGATTTTCCACAAATTATCTTTCTATATAATACAACATGATTGGAGTATTATGTGGCACTTCTGAGTGAACTTGAATCTCCAACCTTTTAGTTAGCAGCTGAGCATATTAGCCATTTTCACCACCCATGATATCCTAAAACAAGATAAGAATTAAAAATTAGCCATTTTATTTAGCAACCAGGAAGCTACTGTTGACCTCAATTAAAATAATTTTTGTTGAATTGGGGAATAAAAGCCTGACTGGAGTTGATTTATGAGCAGTAGGAGGAGAAGAATTAGAGGCAAGTACTGACAAGTCTCTTAGGAGGAGAGCAGGTAGGTGGTGCTGGGATGGAAAATTAATTAAATGAGGAGTAATTGTACTTAATATTTTGTAGAAAATGAACCCATCAAGGGTGAAATTTTCTGAAGTGATATCCTTGGAAAACAAAGGAGGGATGGGATGTAATCCTAAATGGAGGGGATAAATGAATAAATGGATGAATATGTTTTACTATATTTTGGCATTTCAACATTGTATAGATGACAAGTGTGCTTTCCCAGATAAAGTGGATAATGGGGACTTTGTACAATGTGATGAATCTGGGAAACGTGCCCTGGTGTATTCCTGCCATCATGGATTTGAGCTTCAAGGTCAAGAACAAATCACTTGCACAGACAAAGGATGGGATTTTCAGCCACCTGTTTGTAAAGGTCAGTCATCTATCAAGCATATATTTAAAAAAATATATTTTCTTATAAATAATAAAGTCTTCATTTTTTCAAATAGAAATTAATAGTAAATATTACTGAATATTCATTCCCCAAAATACTTCTGAGCATAATTATATTCATAGGAACAGTTATCACATGGAAATAAATTATTCCCTCATTAGTTAACCATGTCTCCAAACTGACATCTTTCTAGAAAATGAAGCTTGATTGACACATCAAAGTTGTTGTTAAGTACCCATAGTGATCCTGCACAGGGTTTCTGAGGCTATAAATCTTTATGGAAGCAGAAAGCCTCACCTTTTTCCCACGGAAAGGCTGGTAATTTCGAACTGTTGACCTTGAGGTTAACAGCCGGATTCATAACCACTACGCTACCAGACACGTCAAAATTCTCACCATAAAATAAGACTAGTAGACAAAGTAACATAAACATGAAAGGATGAAAGAAGGCAGTAACAGCTATACAAGGCTTATAGGAAAGAACTCATAAAGTCGGTTTCTGAGATGAAACAATACATAAAATGTTTTCCACCCTGTATTTGTTTCTTCTTCTTCTTCTTGTTAAGTGCCATGGAGTCAGTTCCAACTCATAGTGACTCTGCACAGGGTTTCAAAGCTGTAAATCTTTATGGGAGCAGAATGCCTCATCTTTCTCCTGCAGAACAGCTGGTAGTTTTGAACTGCTGACCTTGAGGTTAGCAGCCCAATTCATAACCACTATGCTACCAGAGCTCCTTCTTAGGTATGCTATAAAAAAACTGCCACAAACTAAGATGCTTACAACAACAGGAATGTACTGTCTCAGAGTTTTAGCACTAGAAGCCCAATTCAGAATATTAACAGGACTATGTTATCTCCAAATATTCTAAAGGAAGATTTTTTTATAACCTCTCTCAGCTTTTGTAGCACCAGAAATTCCTTGACTCTGTGTCCTCTATTTGTTCCCTCTCTGTCTCTCTCTATCTCTTTTCCTCCCTTATATAAAGTCAACCAGATTGGTTTAGGACTCAACATACTCCAGGATTAGGAGACTTAATGATGCTGTGGGTTCAGTGTTGGCTTACTAACTACAGGTTGATTCACATTTCAAGTTCATCAGCTACTCTGTGGGAGAAAGGTGAGGCTGTCTGCTTCAGTAAAGATTTACAATTTTGGAAACCTACAGAGGTCCGCTCTGAGCAGTAATTGGCTTAATGGTGGCAGGCTTGGTTTTGGGTTTGGTCCTACTCCAGTATGAATTCTTGTTCATTGGTAGCGTCTTCAAAGACCTATTTTCCAAGCAAGATCATGTTCGCAGGCACCAGGAATTAGCACTTCAACATATCCTTTGGGGATATAAAGCAATCCATGACACAGTCTAAGGATCTATTGATTAAGATCTCCCAACATAAACCTGCCAGTGGTTAGTTTATTTCCAAACCCAGTTTTTCATCTCCTGAGCACACAGCTGTACTATATTTCCTATCTTCCTTATATTTAGGATGGACATGGACTGCACTCCAACCAATGAAATGTGAACAGAAGTGGTAACAGGTTGCTCTGCAGTGCTATAAGAAACTCGATGAGTCATCCTCTGCTCCTACCTTTCTATTTGCCTGGCATGACAAACATGCCAGCCAGGGCTTCCTATGGAGCCATGCATTAAAGATGGCAGAACAGCACGATAGAAAAAGTCTGAGTCCTTGAGTCATTACTTCAGGAAAAGCAACAGACCAGGGACATTCCCACTAAACTCTTTTGTTGTTGTTGTTGTTGTTGTTGTTGAGAACCTTCAAGTCAAGTCTGACTCTTAGTGAACCTGTATAGGATTTCTGAGGATCAACTGGTGGGTTTGAACCACTGACCTTGCAGTTCAAACTGACAGTGAGGTCCAGTGCTTATCCTATGATGCCACACTAGAAGAGAGAAATTAACCTTTATTCATTAAGTCCTAAAAATTTAGGGTATCTTCTGGTACAGCAGCTAGTGTTGCCTAACTAATCTAGAAATTTCCCCATTTTTAAAAAAGCTAAAATACATGTCATTGATACAGGAGATGGTTAGTGAAGACATTGGTTTGAAAAACTGGAAACATGAATATTCGTGCTAGGCATTAATAATGCATTCATTTAAAATCTCACTTGCAACAACTTAAAAGTCACACCAATTGCCTACCAAGATTGTATTTCTGCTCATTCAAGAGTTTGGAATAAAAATATATCATAATGTGTGCTACTTGTTATGAGCTACCTTTGTAAGGTATTAGAAGAAAGAGAGAAAGTCCTGCAAAATTTGACTAATTGTAAACAAAAATAAAAACAAATAGAGGAAGTTCAAATGTTTTTATCTCTGAAGGGTTGCAAGAGCCAACTTGGTCTGGACTCAGGACAGTAAAAGATGAGACTGAGAGAGACTGTGAGCAACAAAGATTCATAAGGACTCAATCCTATGGCAACTATTGATAAAGAATGCGGGCTGTTCATCCAAATAAATTGTCTCAGATACAATCTAGATACACCCAGTTGCCACTGAGTCAACTCCAACTCCTAGTGACTGTATGTGTCAGAGTAGAAATGTACTCCCTAAGGTTTTAATGTCTGTTCGTTATTTAGAATTAGCTCAACACAACTTTCTTCCGAAGTACCTTTGAATGAGCTCAAAGCTTTCAGTTAGCCATCAGAACATTAGCCACTTAGACTGTTCAGGGACTCCTTTAAATTAAGCTATTTTTAAGCTGGAGTTCTGGTGTGGTGCTTTGGGTTAATGCGCTGGACTGAAAAGTCATCTTGAACAGCAAAGCTGGTGGTTCAAGCTCATCTGTCACCTGTCGCTCCTTGGAAATGCTCTATGGGGTAATCATGGGTCAGAAGTGACTCAACAGCACGTAACAACAACAACAAACTTTTAAGTTAAGATAGTTGAGATGAAGAAGCAAAAAAATGAAATTGGATGACTTGGGAATGATATTAGGTCACAACTTTGAGAATCATTAATGGTACAAGAAAACCAGTAGAAACAAATAAATTAGATGGAAACAAATCAATCAGATGACTGTCAGATATATAAGGGGATTTATTATAAGATAAGCACTCGTCTGCTACCTGAAATGCTGACAGTTCAAAATCACAAGGTGCTCTAATAAGAAAGATGATGCTGTCTGCTCTCATAAAGATTTACAGTCTCAGAAGTCCTATGTAGGGTTACTGTGAGTCAGACTCGACTTGATTACAGTGGATTTGATTTGGGGTCTATTGCCCAAATAGCACAAGCTTGGAATGGAAAAGCTTTTGTGTAGATCTTTAGACTCTCAAATGTGTGCTAGGAAGTAGGTTATGAAAGTCCAAGAAGAGAATAGTCTCAACATCTATTTTTAATTTGGTTGTGAATAATAGTAAACAAGGAAAAGGTACCCAGAGGTTAGAGGCAATGACCTAGAAAGCAATGGTCAAGGACATTCCTCCAAGAGAGCATCTTTCCAGAAATCTCACTTTATAGGAACCCACTGTTCTGCAAATTGTGGCAACATCTCTATGCATTTGTTATTATTGCTAGCTATCTCTCTCATTACTCTTGATTATTAGGTTCAGGAGATAATATTTCAGGAGTAAAAATATGGCAAATCTGAAAGTGCTTAGTGACTGTTCAAAATTGAAATGTACAGTTTATCCAAGATTTTTTATTGTTTTCAATGTTAGCGGCACAACATATGATGTTGACTTTAGTACATTGCATGTTTTATGTTTAATAAGCCTTCATGTGATACACACTTCACTTGTTCACCTTACATGTCTAAATTTGTGTATATATATATATTGGATTTTGTTTTAAGTATTTATGACCTACATGCTCTATTCACGGGATCTGTGAAGTAAAACAAAAGAAAAAGCTTACAAGTATAGAAGTACAGGAAAATTCCAGATATCCTCTCCACCTGCACTGACCAGCCTGTCATTCTCTGAATATCCTGTTTTTCCACACCTCATTTGTCCCATCCCCATCTCCCACATTCCTTTTGGTCTTCCATAATTGTTTATAACTATATAATTAACCACTTCCTAAATTGGGTGACCCAGGACCGGGCAGTGTTTCATTCTATTGTGCAAAACGTTGGTACCGAATCCATGACACCTATCAATAACAACAAATAGGCTATGATAAATGGTTTGTGAAGAGCCTAGCACAAACAACTAACAATAGACAATAGTCCCTTTTCTAAACTAAACCGGATGTTTCATGGAGTCAAAACTGTGTGTATCACCACTGTAAGCACCACTCTTCGCACATAGTAAGTGTCCACACACCAGCGGTAGCAGTACCACCTAGGAGCTGGTTAGAAATGTAGACTCAGGCTCACCTCAGAGCCACTCAGAATCTGATTAAAAAAAAAAAAAAAAAAAAAAAAAGATCATGGGATAATCACTTGTGTATGTTAAAGCTTATGATGTCCTGTTGACTAATCCTAACTAAGTGCCTCTCTCTGTAATACCATTATAGTGGTTTAGACCTTCATCTTCTTTGACCTGGACCATTTCAATAGCCCAGGTCAAATCTGTCTCTCAGTCTACATTTGCTCATCTACAGATACATCTTCCATGTGATTCTTTAAGAAGCCAAGTCTGATCATATTACTGCTTGAAAAGCTCTTCAGCAGCTACTCATTTGCCTAAGGAAAAGATAAAATGACCTTTGCAAAGCTTTTAGACCTTTCCTTAGTTCATCCCTTTCTTAAGTCTTTTAATGCAACTCCTTCAACTCTCAAACTTCACTGTATATGTCAGTTACAGAAAATGTGGCCTAATATTTTATGCATTCTCTAGACCTGGAAATACCTTATCCCTTCATCTACTTAGTACAAACCTCACTGGCAACCACAACAATATGCATCACATCTTCTTTGCCATTGTTGTACTTTCTCCAGTCCTCCATTAGAGTTCCTGTCACATGACATCTAAAACACGTCACTATTAGACCTTAGAAAAAATTACTCAGCTTCTTTGTGG